TATTTGAAGGCAGCTGGAGTCTGGACTGACCATTAGAGGGAAGAGGCAGACATTTCTTCAGGGCCACCGTCAGCGTCCACCACAAAGGAACATCACCCACAGGTACGGAACTGGATCCCACCGTACTGAGAACGAACGAAGGGTCAACCCAAATGTTGTAGAAGTCAGTACCTCACTGGAGGTACTGACTACAAGTAATGACTGTGTTCAGTAGCATGGTTTCAGTTACTGTACATTCTCAGAAATATTAAAAACTTGGTTTCATTGAAGACCATGTTACTGAAATACATATATAAATAACTCTTCTCTGCTTTCTGAAAGAATCCACTTTGAGGCAATCCTGGTGTAATTACAGACCTGTTTACACCCTCATAGGCTTTCAGTCAAAATTTGTCATAAGAAACTAAGATGGTAACTAAATAATAATCGATGAATCAATCCATCAAGAAGCCATAACTGCAATTATACAGGCACATAAATATCTAGCGGGACTGAAGGGAGAAAAACATATAAGTATCATAAGAGCAGGGGACCTCAATACCTCACTTTCAACAAAAAAAGAAATCATCTAGGCAGAAAATCAATAGGAAAACAGACCTGAACAACACTGTAGATCAAATGGACCTAATGGGCGTACAGAACACTCCACTCAGGAGCAGCCGAATCTGGGGTCTTCCCAAGTGCACGTGGAACATTCCCAGGACGGGTCCTGTGTGAGGCTACAAAATACGTCCAGACAAGTTCAACAAGACAGAACGCATATCAAGCATCTTTTCTGCCCACAATAATATAAAACTAGAAATGAATCTTTGTCAGAAAACTGGGGCATTGACAAATACATGGAAATCAAACAATTCATCCATGAACAGCAAATAAGTCAAAGAAAAAAAGTCAAAAGGAAAGTTTAAAGTATTTTGAGACAAATGAACATAAAAACGCAGTATATCAAAACTTATGAAGTGCACCAAAGAGGTTCTCAGGAAGAAGTTTAGAATAATGAATGTTTACATTGTGAATAAAAGAAAGATCTTGTTGTGGGCTGGGTGTGAAGTGTCCCCCAAGCTCCTGTGTCAACGTAGGAATATTCAGGGTGAGATGAGTAGATCATCCTGCAGAGTCGTCCGTGATTAATAATCTGAGTGGGCGACTGGGGGGTAACTGTAGGCAGGTGGCTGTGGCTGGAGGAGGTGGGTCACCGGGGGCTTGCTCTTGGGGTTACCCTCTCTGTCTGTCCCCCCACCCTTCCTGGCTGACGAGAGCTGAACATCTTACCTCTACTCCACCCTCCTTCCGCCATGTTCTGTTGCACCCTGGGCCCAAAGCAATGAGGACATCTGGACCAAGTCCTTGAAACCATGAGCCAAAAATGAACTTCTCCTCCCCTCAGATGTTCTTGTCGGGTGTTTTGGTCACAGTGATGAAAATCTGACCCACAGATCTCAACAACCGACCTTTACATCTCCGGGAGCAAGGATCAGAACAACGGGGTCTAGAGGTGGCAGGAGGACAAGATCTGACACAAGAGAAATGGAGACCAGGAGACAGCAGAGGTCCACAAAGCTCAGCGTCGGCGTTTTGAACAGAGAAGAAAAACTGACAAAGCTCTAGCTGGATTCGCCAAGAAGAAGAAGAGAGAGAGGGCTCAAAGAAATAAAATTAGAAACGAGAAAGGAGACATCACGACGGATGTCACAGAAACGCCAAGAATCACCAGGGACTACTTATGACACAAGATGAATGATACGCCAACCAGCTAGATAACCTAGGGAAAAAGGGCAAATCCCTAAAAACATAGGACCCTCCACGACTGAGTCTTGAAGAAAGAGAAAGTCTGAACAGAACAATAGTGAGTCCACCACCTTCCAACAAAGAGAAGCTGGCACAAGATGGCTTCCAGAGTGGATTCTGCCAGACTCTGAGAGACGTAGCACCCAGCCTCTCCAAACTCTTAAAAAAAAGTCCAAGAAGAGGGACACTTCCAAACTACATAACCAAAGAAGGTTAATGCAAGAAAGAAAAACTACTGGCCAGTATCCTCAGTGAACACAGATGCAACATCCTCAGCAGATGCTAGCAAATAAACTTCAAAAGGACAGTAAAGGACATCCATTATGATCAAGTGGAATTGACCCCTAGATATGCGATAAAATAAGATAGGAAAGTTCAACATACACAAACCAATCAAGGTAATTCACAACATAAAGGCAATAAAGGATAAAGATTATACAATCGTCTCAATAGATGCAGAAAAAGCATTTTTCAAAATTCAACATCCATTTATCATTAATTAAAAACTCTGAGCAAATGGGTTATAGAATATTTAGAATATAATAGGCTCATAGCTAAAATCAACTCAACAGTGAAAAGCAGAACACTTATTGAAGGTCAGAAACAAGATAAAGCTGACTACTCTTGTCACTTTTATTTAACAGGATGTCCTAGTTAGAGCAATTACACAAGAAAAAGAAATAAAAGACATTTAAAACAGAAAGGAAAAAAAGCAAAATTGTCTTTTTCTGCAAATGACATGATTTTTTATATATCGAAAGACTTCACTAAACAACTGTCAAAACTAATTAAGGAATTTAGTAAAGCTGCAGGACACAAAACCAACGTACAAAAATTAGTTGCCTTTCTACATACTAACCACAAACCGCCCAAATAGAAATTAAGAAAACAATCGCACTTGCCGTAGCATCAAAAAGAATAAAGTACTTAGAATGTATTTAGCCAAGGGAAGGAAGCTCTCCACACTGAGAACTGTAAGAACTTGGCGAAGGAAAGTGAAGACACAGATAAACAGACATCCCATGTTCATGGATTGGTAGGATCAATCTTGCCAAAATGTCCTTACCACCTGTGTCAGTCAGTGTTAAATAACTTCAGTAAACGTAAAGGCAGATTTTGGCTCACAGATTTCGTGGATTTCATCCGTGGTGACGTGGTCTGTTGCTCTGAGCCTCTGGAGCACAGTACCTCGTGGCAGAAACACATGCAGAGGAGCTGCTCACATCATAGTGCCCAGGAAGCAAAAAGTAGAGGGGTCAGGGCCCCAATGTCCCCTTAAATGGCACACCCATCATGACCCGCTTCTTTCCATAAGGCCTCGCCTTTTAAAGGATCCACCATCTCCCAGCAGAACCGCGACCTGGGAACCAAGCCTTTTTAACACACAGGCCTGTGAGGAACATTTCAGGCCCACACCACAGCAGCAGCTAAGACAATCTACCCACTGGGTGCAATCCCTCTCAAAATTCCAATGGCATTTTTTCACAGACTTAGAAAAAAAAATTATAAAATTCCTAGGGAACCACAAAAGACTGAGAGAAACCAAAGAAATGTTAAGGGAAAGAAAAAACAAAGTTTGAATGCCAGATCTCTTGGTTTTAAACTATGTTACAAACCTATAGAAGTCCAAAAAGTGTGGCACTGGCATAGAAACACTCACAGATCATTGGAACATCACAGAAAGCCCCAAATAAAATAAATCCATGTACAAAATCAACTGATCTTCAACAAAGGCATCAAGAATGCACAACAGAAAAGAGATCTCTTCAGTAAGTGGTGCTGGGAAAACCGGATATTCACAACTTACACTATGCATAAAATTAACTGGCTAGGGTGTGAGTGGGGTTTGTCCCCTCTGAAACTCATGCCGAAATCGTGCTCCTACGTGGCTGAGAGCCAGTGGGACCTTGTAGAGGATACTCGGTCATGAGGGCAGAGATTAAGGCTGCTCTCCTAGGACTCAGTTGATTCTTGAAGGAGTGAGGTCTTGCTCTCAAGGGACTGAACCCGACACTCAAGAGCAGGTTGTTATAAAGCAAGGCACTTCTCAGAGGAGTTTTCTCTCTCCTGTACACTCTCTTCCACTTCCTCCCTCCACCATGTTACAGTGCAACACAAGGCTTCCTCCCCAGAAACCGACACCGTGCACTCAGACTTCTCAGCTCCACAAATTCAACCTCCTTCCTTATCAATTACCAGTGTCAGGCATTCTGTTATAGCAACAGAAAATGGACTAAGGCACAACTCAACTGGATTGAAGACTTCAATGGCACTTTGTGATCAGAACAGCATGCACGGAAGCTAGCACACAGAGCCCCTTTCCTGGGGTCCAGCCTCCAGGGCTAAAGCCCGTGAACCTGAAGGTCCTCCCCCACTTGCAGGTTGGCCTTGTCTCAGCTGCCTCATGAGCTCCTTGTCAGAAGTTTCCTTTCATTTCTCCCGCGTCTCTAGGACCGCCCCAGTTGTCTGACAGATGATTGTCCCTAGCCTTGACATCTGTTGGTTCCTTCTTCGGGAGAGTCAAGAGGGAAAGTGGCTTGGAGCCTGAAACCTGGGGCCCACATTGGCTCAGAACCTTGGTCTCATGATGCCACCGAGATGTCCACAGTGTCCCCAGTTAAAACAGACCAGGGATGATGGTGTCTGTTGTTACAGAGCAGCTCTCTGTCGACCTAGAAGGACGTATACGGCTGTCCCTCTGTATCGGGGGTCCCACATCTGGGGGTCCCAGGCAGAGACCCGAGACTGCCACAAGCTCTGCTCAGTCCCAGCTGAGTGTGGCGTCTGCTCCATCCCCCACCCCTCCCTCCCTGCTGCCCCTCCCTCCCAGCCCACCCTGCTGCACCGACCTGCCCTGCACCCCTCCACACGCTCCATCTCCACTGGCTCATCAGCACCATGGCAGCCTTATGAGCGTGGTCGTCTGCCTCTCATTGTCCCTGCCCTTGCTGTGACGTCACAGTCCCTTGAGTGTTCCTCCTAATATGTGAGACTCAGAGCACAGAGGTGACAGGAGACAGGTGCAGCCAATCAGTAAGGAGAGGCAGGGCTGGCCCGCTGAGGTCCTGGTGGAGAGATCTGGTGGCCAACTCCCCAAGGGTGACAAGGACAGTGGACCTGCCAGTGACTTTAAAATACCGTTTTGGTGAATGCAGGCGTCACCCCCTGAGGGATTTCTCCTGCCACGTGGAAGAGGAGGCAGTGCCCCAGGAGGATGAGGGGCAAGCCCGGGTGCTGCCCTCTGTCATGGTCTCCTCCCAGGCAAAGGCGGGCAGACGGGCAGGAGAGGAGCAGGGAAAGGCCAGGCACAGACAGGCTGAGGCCCGAGGCAAGTCCTGAGTCAGTGTGGGAAGAGCACATCAAGGTCCTGGGAGGAGAGCAGGAGGGGACACAGCTCTGCCGGGCTGCAGCCCCCGAGGACGGCATCCAGGCTGACCTTGGGGACAACCCATGGCCACCGAGGACAGGTTACATGCAGAGGGACTGGAGGAGATCTTGCCTGCTGAGCGACCGTGGCCACCCCCGTGCCCACCCACTGTGGTCTGGAGATTTGTGCCCCCTGCCCCCGATCCACAGTCAAAACCCGACACCCCAGGGCATGGCGTCGAGGTGGCAGGGCCTGTGGGTGGTGACTGGGTGGTGAGAGTCTCCGTGTCCACATAAGGAGAGAGCCTGGAGTGACCCCTCCATCCTGTGAGCCGGGCCTCAGGCTGGGTGTTGACCTCTGCCCCTCGTCCTCCTGGGGAGCTGCCTCCTCTTCCAGGGGACAGAAGAAATCCCTCAGGGGGTGACGCCTGCATCCACCAAGTTGGCGGCGCCTCCCTCTCGGGCAAGCCCCCAGGCAGGGACGGTGTCACCAGCTCCAGCTGACCATGTCCCCAGGGTCAGTGCAGAAGGTGCTGAGGCCAGGGCTGAGACCATGACCGCCGAGGGCAGGAGCCGGAGAAGCCTGCGCTCTCCGTGCTGCGGCAGCGTGATGCAGAGCTGGCACTGGCCGCTGGCCGCTGGCCACTGAGCCAGGGATCGGCCGGTGCCTCTTTTCTCATCAGCAGCAACGACCACCCTACGCGAAGGGTCAGTTCACTCCCTTTGGCCCCCAGAAATGCTAAGGGAAGCTCCCCAGGCACAGAACTGGGGCGAGAAGTCAGCTCCTGGCCAGGCTCCAAACCCGGGTGCTGCCCTCTGTCATGGTCCCCGTTGGACAAGTGGCCTCCAGCAGACTGAGGCAGAAAGAGCTGAGGAAGCTGTGTCCACAGCCGCACTCCTCGGGCAGCGTCCAGGTGAACCCCGTGACCCCCAGGGGTCGAGGTGGCCCAGCTCCCTGGGGTGGAAATCGCCCCCTGGGTGATGGCTCTGGACCCTCAGAGTCCACTTTTGGCTCCAGGAGGCTGTGGATGTGACGGATGTGAGTCAATCCAGGGTCTTGAGATGGGGACGAGCTGGATTCTGGGTGGGCCCTGCAGGTGGTCACAAGTGCCCTCCTGAGAGCAAGGGAGGGACGTTGGCACAGAAGCAGAAGGTGTCTGCCTGGCCCAGAGACAGACGGGAGTGATGGGGCCGTGTGCCCAGGAGAAGGCCCGGCAGACCCCGCCCAGGAGCCTCCGGAAGGCACCAGGGGCTCACACAGACTGTCCCCGGGGTGTCCTCTACCATCAGACGGGGATAAGCTGTCGCAGCAGCCACGGAACCTAGGACCAGGAAAGTGGGCGGAAACCCCGGTTTCCAGACCCGTGTCCAGCGGCCACGGATCCTGCAGGCACACAACGCTCCCAGGGCCGCTCACCTGGTGAGGCCACCAGGTTGGAATCCGCCATCGCCACTTCACTCGCAGGCACAGGAGGGACGGTCCCCAGGTGGAGGCCCTGCTAGAAGGGAGGCCGAGGGGGACCCGCGCTTCAAGGGGAAGTAGCTGATATGTCACAAACTGACCTGCCCCTTTCTCAGACACCTCCAGCAGCTGGATTCTCAGTGCACGTGGCATCCCTTGAAGAACTCATCCAGAGCACCTTTGGCCTTTTTTTGCTCAGCTTTCCCTGTTAGTTAAGGAAATGAGAGTGTCCACCCGGGGCCAAGCACCTGGCCCAGCCGCCCAGCAGCCATCTCTGAAAGCGGTACCCGGGATGTCCTGAAATGGTGGTCCCTGAGGGCGGCTGGTTGAGGGCTAGTAGGGCCTGTAGCCCAGGGAATGGTCACACTGGTCCTGCAGCCTGTGGGCCCTTGGGTCCACTGGAGGAGACACGTGAGCCGTGTCCTGGAACGTGACCCGGGCTCAAAGCCTGGCAGGGCTGTGTGACCTTTGTGGTGCAGGTGGGAGGGAGGAGGGGCCGCCCCTGCAGGGAAGGCCACCAGGCAGCCTGCTGCACCCCAGAAGTCCTGCTGGAGAGCTCTGTGGTGCTGCCCTGGTCTGCTCAGGGAGCCACCGCGAAGCCCCACAGGCCAGGTGCCTCGACAGCAGACGTGACTTTCCCAGGGCTCTGGGGTCCATGAGAAGTCCAAGGTCCCCTTCCCACGGTGCCCCCAGGCCACCTTTCCCAGGTGCAGGAGCAGCCTTGGGAGCTCATCCTCTTCTTCCCAGGACACATCAGTCAGATTGGATTAGCGGGCCCAGTCCAGCCCAGCACAGTGCCCCAGGCTGCGCACCCAGCCCCAGGGGACCCAGAGGCTTTCTTTTCCCCACACCCAGTCAGTGGCTCCCGCCAGACGTGCATTTGCTCTCACTCTCCTCATCCTGGGAAGAAAGAGAATGGACACCGACACAGGCATGAAAGCAGTGGGGACCCCTCCCTGCACGGCTGGCCACAGTCTTGACTTCCAGGGGCACGGCTGGCCCCTCCCTGCTTGGGAGACAGACAGCTGGCTAGAAAGGCCACTCCTGCCAGGGGCTTGTTTGCAAAGGAAACC